CCGGCGTTATAACGTCACTTCCTAGTGATGTGCATGCGGCGCGCGTGCGCAAAGCGCGCACGCTCTTGTACCGGGAGCCACCCGGGAGTCCCCTGCGGAGGAGGTAAGTGCCACTTGGCAACCCTACTAGGGTTGGGAAAACCAGTCTCTCTTAGTCTCTTAGTCTCCGTCCTAAAATATTTAACAGGCCCTGTGATCTAGTGGTTAAAAGTGTTGGGCTGGGAGATGTGGGGAAGGTCCCCTTTCAGCCACAGTTTGCTTCGTGACCTTTAGCCAGCTGCTCTCTTTCTCTCTCCATCAGCCTAACCAGGGCTTTTTTGTAGAAAAAGTCCAGCAGGAACTTATAAGCATAATAGGCCACACCCAACAGCACAAACTCATTAGCATATTAGGCCATGCCCCTGGCAGAGCAGCACATTAGCATATTAGGCCACACCCCCATGCCTTCCCTTGGCTTGCCTGGGCGCCCTGCGGCTGTGGAGAGCCCGGGCAAGCCAGCCCTTGGACAGGCCAGGGAAGGCATGAGGAGGCATTTAAATGCCTCCCCGATCCTTCCAGCCCCCCCCGGCCCGCCCGCCTTGGAGTCGCTCTCCAGGCCTTCCCTCTGTAGCCACGCACGCAGAGGTTTTGGCTGTAGTGGGCATGGCCAACTCTGAAGCCAGCTGGAACTCCGTTCCTGTGCGGCCCTGCCCCCAAATAGCCCTGAGCCTAACCTATCTCGCAAGCTCGTTGTCCGAATACGATAAGGGAGGTGGAGAACTGAGCATACTGCCCTCAGCTCTTTGAAGACGGAAGTGCGATAAAAGCCAAGCCTTGGATCGTGCACGGAGGGAGATGAAATCCCCCCCTTCCCGTATGCTGCAGCTGCTGGGCACCTTTTAGCTCTGTGCCCTTTGACGTACTGGGCACCACCATTAGGCCTGACCAGAGGCATGAAAGGGGGCTACTCTGAAGTCTCCCCCTCCAAGTGCACCCACATGACTTCCCATTGGGGAGAAAGTAGGGATACAAATGGCTAAATTTGCAGATGATACGAAGTTGTTCAGGGTGGTGAGAACCAATGTTCCCTCTAAGCTGTGGAGTCTTCTGAGCAAAAAATCTACTTTGTGAGCCACTGACATTAAAGTTGGGAGCGAGCGATTTGGCTTCTGCATAAATTAGTTTGCTCTGGAGCCAATGTGTGAGCTGGAGGCTAAAAAACTGTGAGCTAGCTCAGACTAACTGAGCCAGTTTGGTGTAGTGGTTAAGTGTGCGGACTCTAATCTGGGAGAACCGGGTTTGATTCCCCACTCTTCCACTTGCACCTGCTGATGTGACCTTGGGTCAGTCACAAGCTCTGGCACAGCTGTCCTTGAAAAAGAGCAGTTAGTGTCAGAGTTCTCTCAGCCCCACCCACCTCACAGGGTGTCTGTTGTGGGGAGGGGAAGGGAAAGGAGTTTGTAAGCCGCTCTGAGACACCTTTGGGTAGTGAAGGGCGGGGTATAAATCCAATCTCTTCTTCTCTTCTTCTCTTAGAGGGAACACTGGTGAGAACCAGGGAGGATTGTGAGGCACTCCAAAGGGATCGGTCGAGGATGGGCGAGTGGGCATCAATGTGGCAAATGGGGTTCAGTGTGGCCAAGTGCAAAGTGATGCATGTTGGAGCCAAAAATCCTAACTATAAATACACGTTGATGGGGTCTGAACTGGCAAAGACTGACCAAGAGAGAGGTCTTGGAGTCATAGTAGATAACTCACTGAAAATGTCGAGACAGTGTGTGACTGCAATAAAAAAGGCCAATGCTATGCTGGGGATTATTAGGAAGGGTATTGAAAACAGAACAGCCAATATCATAATGCCCCTATATAAATCAATGGTGCGACCTCATTTGGAATACTGTGGGCAATTCTGGTCACCACACCTTAAAAAGGATATTATAGCGTTGGGAAAAGTGCAGAAAAGGGCAACTAGAATGATAAAAGGGTTGGAACACTTTCCCTATGAAGAAAGGTTAAAGTGCTTGGGGCTCTTTAGCTTGGAGAAACGATGGCTGAGGGGTGACATGATCGAGGTTTATAGGATTATGCATGGGATAGAGCAGGTAGAGAAAGAGGTACTTTTCTCCCTTTCTCACAAGACAAGAACTCGTGGGCACTCAATGAAATTGCTGAGCGGTCGGGTTAGAACGGATAAAAGGAAGTCCTTCTTCACCCAAAGAGTGATGAACACATGGAATTCACAGCCACAGGAGGTGGTGGTGGCTACAAACATGGATGGCTTCAAGAGGGAATTAGATAAGCATATGGAGCAGAGGTCCATTGGTGGCTATTAGCCACAAGGTATAGATAGGGACTCTGGGGCAAGTGATGCTCTGTATTCTTGGTGCTTCCGGGGGTCAGCAGTGGGACGGCTTCTGAAGTTCTGGCCTTGCTGGTGGACCTCCTGATGGCACCTGGTATTTCTGGCCACTGTGTGACACAGAGTGTTGGACTGGATGGGCCTTTCTTATGTTCTGTTATGTTCTTATATTCTTAAATGAAGGAAATAAATGATAAATATGGCTGATGATGGGGGTGGTAGATAAAAGGAAGGCTGGTTGATGGGTAGGAAAGAGAGAAGGAAGCAGGGAAAGGTGAGGATATGGGGGTTGCTGGGAGGAGGGAAAGAAACAATTGTGTGGGGAAGGAGATACAAGGGAAAATAAGGTGCCCTCCACGAGTCCTCACAGGTCCCCCACCACACAACTGGACTTGTCCCAGTGGCTGGCACCACACAACTGGGCCATAGTTTTCTAGGGTAGAGGGAGGGAAGGAGGGAAAACTGAAAATGGGGGTCAAATAACAGTACGTTGGCTGGTAGGTGGGAAGGAAAGAAGGATGTAGGAGTAGGGGAGAGGCTTTGGGGGCTTTTTTTGGAAGGAAAGAGGATGCGGTGAGGGAGGAGGAGACAAATGCTCCCCCCCTGCAAGTCCTTGTGGGTCCCCCATTTGTTTTTATATAATTCAGAGAATGCCACAGGATTTCAAACCATTGGAGGCACCAACTGGGACGAGGGAAACAATATACATAACCTTGAGATCCAGGGCAGAAGGGGTGGATTGTTAAGTCGTGAGCTTAACAAAGAGTCGGAGAGTGATTTCAGCAAGAATGCGGCTTTTATTCTTCAGCTTCAATACTTCTCCAACACGGTACAATATCAGTCAGTCAGAACAGCTTTAACATAGCAGCTGCTCTGTATTTAAACATTCCCGGCTAATGTGGCCACGCCCACTGTACAAGTACCAACCAATGAGGTTGAAGACGTCCAATCACAAGCGTTCCCGCTCTGCGAAGTGATTGGATGACACTTCCTGGGCTAGTGTTCCTATTGGTTACATTAGGATCCTAGCCCAGGCCGAAGCTTAACATTACAAGTCAATGGGATGTTTCCATCCCAATGGGATGTTTCCATCCCATTTCATGCATTCAAGTCCATCTGAATACATAACAGTGGATAATACATGTCAAAAGTAAATAACACCATATGGATTTCTGCCTGGTGAACTTAGAATCCCTTGGCGATTACGAGATGTCTCAGTAAGGACGGGCCCCTGTGGCGCAGTGGCTGAACTATGACTGGGGAGTCTCGTCTTCAGGCCCTTGCTTGTCACGTAAGCTGACCGGGTGGCTTCCAGGAAGGAAAAACAATGGAAGGAAGGAAAGTCAGGATAAATGTACTTAGATAAATAAATATCATGTGAGTTACCAGCAGGGCTTCTTTTGTAGAAAAAGCCCAGCAGGAACTTATTAGCATAATAGGCCACACCCAACAGCAGGAACGCATTAGCATATTAGGCCACACCCCTGACAGCACAGCTCAATAGCATGTTAGGCCACACCCCCATGTTGCCAGAAGTGTGGTCATCCAGCCACACCCACCTTTTGCTTCTTATTCTGTTTACCTTGTTTGTTGTCCAAACCCAGGGCCTTTTTTTCTAGCAGGAACTCCTTTGCATGTTAGGCCACACACCCCCTAATGTAGCCAATCCTAATGAGTTTCTGCTGTTGGGTGGGGCCTATTATGCTAATGAGTTCCTGCTGGGTGTGGCCAACTCGGGAGCCAGCCGGAACTCTGTTCCTGTGCGTTCCTGCCCCAAAATAGCCCTGGTTACCAGTATATGCTGCAAGGCAGCTCTGTTGGTAGAGGATGGTGGGGGTAGACTGAGGTCACAAAAACGGTATTGGGGGGGAGCATTATGATTCTTCTTCCCTGTGCCGCACCCCAACCCTGAACCTGTCCCTTGTTGCCGCTTACGTTTTTAGAAATGTGCAAGGGATCTTCTTCATGGCTCCTCCAGTGACGCATCCACTTTGTCCCTAAGAGCATATGACAAAGGGTGAAGACATGGACACTGTGGCCGAGTTCAGACTGGCAGTTTGGCCCGGCAGCCAAACGTTTCAGGAGCTTTTCAGGAGCAGATTAAAGGGGCGGGTTCACACAGCCACATCTGTCAGGCGTCCCCCAGCCGTACTCAAGCCGTCTTGTGCCGCTTCCCTCCCGAGTTTAAAAAGTACCAGGTGAAAGGGGTAGCGAACCGTGTGTAGAGCGGGTTGATTCCGGTTCCATGAGTGTGAACGCAAGTGCTGCTAAGGCGGGAACAACCCACAGTCATTGATAATAGCGCTGGCTGTTTTCCCCGGCAGGCGCCGTCAGGGTATGCACAATCATGCCCTATTTGCCACTGCGCGCATGGGCGCATGCAGCCCAGCGCGAAAAGAGTCACTAACAGCCTGCCAGGGCGGCCCAACAGTGTGAATGCTCCTTTGCGCTTCCTCCACGGTATCCTCCCGCTTCATTCGCTGCGGTGTGAACAGAAATACCGCAACCAAGCCGTTCCAGGTCTGTTCAGTTTTTTCTTTGCCACGACTCCCTAGCGCTTCAAATTGCCAGTCTGGACACGGCTTATATATTCGTTATGCGAAATTCACAGAAGATTCTCATCAATGTACCCAACTCAGTTTTCTTTCTTCTTCTCTATTAGGAAACTCCTCGAAGACTGTTGTGACCCGGGTCAGTTCTTTGCAATGACAAAAGAGAATTCTCCTGTGGGAAAGAATCTGTGGTTCGATGGGGAATTTCTGTACTCCTTCACCATCGACAACAAAACCTTCTCCCTGTTCCCCAAGGTGAGTCACGATCTTGTGTCGCGGTGCTGTGTAAAATCTCCCTCTTTCAGAGACCGCAAAAGTGCCGCCTACTTGCTGGATCCTCTTGTCTGCTCAGTTGATGGGTAAACATGTAGCGTAGAGTTCAGCTTTCTTTGTCGAACTAAAGCCAGTTTGGTGTGAGAGTCAGTTTGGTGTAGTGGTTAAGTGTGCGGACTCTAATCTGGGAGAACCGGGTTTGATTCCCCACTCCTCCACTTGCAGCTGCTGGTGTGACCTTGGGCAAGCCATAGTTCTGTCAGAGCTGTCCTTGAAAGGGCAATTCTTGAAAGAGCTCTCTCAGCCCCGCCTACCTCACAGGGTGTCTGTTGTGGGGAGGGGAAGGGAAAGGAGTTCGTAAACCGCTCTGAGACTCCAAGTGAAGAGCGGGGTATAAATCCAATCTCTTCTTCTTCTCTTCTTCTTCCAAAGAAGAGCTCTCATTGTAGGTTGTCTTCCAGAACCATGTTGTCACACTATAGGGACAATGCCCGGTTTCTGCTAAACATTTGTGAGTGTTCTTGATATCTTGGCGTTCTTTAGAATGTCTTCAAATAAACCTGGCATTGAAGGCAGGATGGTGTTTCATTGATTATGTATTTATTCCAATTCCAATAACCTTTCTTGGCATAACTATTATGTATTTATTTAGAATGTTTGTAAGCATCTTCTCCAGAGCCCTGTTCGAGTTAGGTCACACGTGGACTAGGGGTGTGCGATATTTTTTTAAACCAGTATTTTTTGGTTCGGGTCTATTGGACCCGAAAAAAATTCAGGATTTCCCAAAAAAAATCCCGGATCCCGATACTGGTGTGGGATTTATATCCAGGATTTTTTTGGGATTTCCCCCCAGTTTTCCCAAGAAAACCCGGATACTCTTCTAGGTGAGATCCAGGCCCTGCGGAACCTGATCCAGTTCTGCAGGGCCTGTAAAACAAAAATGTTCTGCCAGGCATACTGTCGAGGTCGTATGTTGCCCCAGAAGGTCGGATCACAGCCAATTGGTCGGAATTAAAACAGTTTTCGGCTAAACATGAGGAAGAACTTCCTGACAGAGCGGCTCCTCAGTAGAACAGGCTTCCTCGGGAGGTGGTGGGCTCTCCTCCTTTGGAGGTTTTCAAACAGAGGCTAGATGGCCATCTGACAGCAATGCTGATTCTGTGAACTTAGGCAGGTCACGAGAAGGGAGGGCAGGAAGGGTTGCATCAGTGCCTAGTTCTCATGGCCCACGCCCGGGGAAATGCCAATCGCCACTTTGGCATCAGGCAGCAATTGTTCTCAAGGCTACTTTGGCCAGGGACCCTGGAAGGTTGTTTTGGCCTTCTTCTAGGCACAGAGCAGGGGTCACTGGGGGTATGGGGGGAAGGTATTTGTGAATTTCCTGCAGTGCGCAGTGGGTTGGACTAGATGACCCTTGCGGTCCCATCTGACTCTATGATTCTATGAAGTTTCCATCTAAATCCCCTGGCTTCCCTCCCCACCATTCATTGCATTGTGTTCCAGCATCTTGCAAACGCACAGGTTGCACAACCTCATGTGAATAAATTTTATTAGTGCCTATGTTGCCATCTGGTTTTACCTTGATTGCTATTATGTTAAATTGTTTTAATAATTATGATGTTTTTAACTTGTTGTTACCCACCCTGATGCTTGCAGTGCAGGGGAGAGCGGGCTAAAAATCTAATAAAACAAACAGATAAATACATTTGGGATGTCAAAATCTATCCAGAAAATGCCAATAAGGTACTTTTCATGTAGATTTTCGGCTCCGGTAAATTTGAATGCACACCACTAACTCTAATTCAGGACTTGTCCTGAATCAAGACAACCAAGGTCAAGCTGAGACTGGGTAGATATGAAAGGCAAATAATAACAAACCATATCTGGAACATGTGATATCAGATAACACAACAGCAAGGCCATTTTATAGTCAAATTGCAGCCGCCAGTTTGGTGTAGTGGTTAGGAACTAGTTTGGTGTAGTGGTTTGGAGCATGGACTCTTATCTGGGAGAACTGGGTTTGATTCCCCACTCCTCCACATGCAGCTGCTGGTGTGACCTTGGGTCAGTCATAAATTTTCTCACAGCTGTTCTCTCAAGGGCAGTTCTCGAGAGAGCTCTGTCAGCCCCGCCTACCTCACAGGGTGTCTGTTGTGGGGAGGGGAAGGGAAAGGAGTTTGTAAGCCACTCTGTGATTCCTTCGGGTAGTGAAGGGCGGGGTATAAATCCAATCTCTTCATCTTCTTCTTCTTATGGCAATCCCAAATGGTTTTCAAGGCGAGAGACGTTCAGAGTTGGTTTGCCATTGTCTACCTCTGCATAGCAGCCGTGGACTTTCCATCCAAATAGTAACCACCAGGGTCAACCCTGCTTAGCTTCTGAGGTTAATACTTGGATTGGTCTAGCCTGGACCATCCAGGTCAGGGCCCAAATCCTAGAGTGCTGTCAAAATCACCAAAGTGTTGGTACAGATCAGTGGAATTTTATAGCTCATAACCAATGCTCCCTCTAAGCTGCGGAGTCCTGTGAGCAAAAATTCTACTCTGTGAGTTACTGGCATTAAAGTTGTGAGCGAGTGATTTGGCTGCTGCATAAATTGGCTTGCTCTGCAGCAGAGGTCATTTCGGGGGGATCGCGGGGGTCGCAGTTCCCCCGGGTGAGGTACGGGGGCGGGGCACATGACGAAGCCCCGGCCCCTGCTTCCGACCGCCCCGCTTCCAGCCCTCATTCAGCCAGGAGGAGGCAGGAGAAGAGGGAGGGTAAGTTGCTTTCTCCCTGCCTCTCCCCACCCCTGCCTGCCTGGGGCCAGGGAGGGCCTTTGCGGGGCTTCCTTGCACTCCCGCTGGCCTTGCAGGTCCACCACCGGGCCCCTCATGGGGCTCGGCAGTGGAGCTGCAAGGCCGGTGGAGGCGGCCGGGAACGTTGGGGGCGGGGTGTGTGGCCTTATGACACACTTCCGGTGATTTCAGGGGGTGTGGTATATGCTAATGAGTTATGCTAATGAGTTCCCCTAGCTCTTTTTCTACGAAACGACCCCTGCTCTGGAGCCATCCTTCCTGAGCAAAGACAAAAATGTGTGAGCTGGAGGCTAAAAAAACTGTGAGTTACCTCACACTAACGCAGCTTAGAGGGAACGCAGCTACCAACACCTTGCTTCTCAATTTAAAAGCTTTTTTTTTTAGAAACTGGCGTGATTGCCACGCCTTGTTTATCCATAAACTTCTATTCTGCTTTGCTGTCGAAGTATCGCAGATGGTTTCCAGGCAATTAAAATCCACAGTATCAGTTCGTATTCAAAAGCAACCCAGCCAGAAAACAGTCAGTACCTGCATACCTATCAAATTCCACCTCCATGTTTCACAGTCAAAGAACAATCAATATGGAAATGCGGCATCTGCCATTTGAGCTGTACAATGTATACAGAAAGATTGTCTTGCAGTACTTTCGGGGCAAATGAATTTATTCTGGCATAAACTGGCGTAAACTGCAGCAAACCTGGTGATGTACTGCCCATTGACAACAGTGGGCATTTCAAGTTTAGAGGGACCTTGAAAGGGCGGCTTGCTGTCGTTCTCTCCTCCGTCACCACGCCTGCTGCCTCTACGCCTTTTTAAACAATCACAGTTGTCAATGGAAGACAGACCTGACCTCCAGACTCAGAGGCCGGGTGTACCGCCCATCAAAAACAGTTGTCTTGTATTCATTTTATTATTTAATTATTTATTTGTCTCCGACTTTTCTCCTCGAGGGGCCACGGTGGCTCAAGTGGTTAAGACGTCAGTAGCTTGGCAGTTCGAGACCCGAGGGCCGCGTGACCGAGCGAGCTCCCGTCTCCGGCCCCAGCTCCTGCCAGCCTAGCAGTTCGAAAGCAAGAAATTGCAAGTAGATAAATAGGTACCGCTTCGGTGGGAAGGTAACAGGTGTCCGTGCGCCTTGGCGTTTAGTCATGCCGGCCACATGACCACGGAAATGTCTTCGGACAGCGCTGGCTCTTCGGCTTTGAAACGGAGATGAGCACCGCATCCCTAGAGTCAGATGCAACTGGATTTTGAGCATGGGAAACGTTTGCCTTTTTTCCCTCCTCAATCAGGGACTCAGAGCCACTTTTCACAGAGTTCCCCCCTCCTCTACTTTATCCCTACAACAACAACCCTGTGCGGGTAGACTTGGCTGAGAGATTGTGATGGGCCTCAGGTCACCTGGCAGGCTTCCAGGGTCGAGCGAGGGATTTGAACCTGGTTGTCCCAGGTCTTAATCCGACACTCTGTCCCCTACATCACACCAGCCCATTCAAAGTTTGAAGGGCACTATGGGTCATGGTCCTCTACCCTTCCCTCTCCTTCTGCCATCCCAAACCTAAAGTTCCCCCCAAATTTTGGGAGACAGATCTCTGTTTTTCCCAATGCTTTGAGTCATTTCTGGTATTTTGTGGCTTGTGGAGCAAAGTTTTTTTCTGGTGGGGCTGAAGTTCTCAGTGCAGAAAGAAAAGCCATTCGGCCCATAGAAAGCTGTTACCAGGATCGATCTCTAAATTGCAACCTGTCAACCACTTGAGATGACAGTTCTCAGCTGCTGCAAGTTAATCACTTCTGCCAGCCTAAGCAACAATTCTGATCACCGGCCGGCAGATGGGGGTGATGACTTCTATAGTCAAGAAAGCTAACCCTTAGGCAGAAAAACTCTCTTAAAGGAGACCAGTTTCTTGACACCGAGTTAGAAAGGAGATCCTCAAGGTCACCTACTCCAATCCCCTTGCTCAGTGCAGGAATTAGTCAACTACAGCACCCCACTCTTCTTAAAGGAGTGCATGCCTTTTAAAAAATGTTTAAAGATGATTGAAAAAAGCATTTACAGGATAAATTCTTGTGGGGCTGTGCCTTTAAGAAAGGGGGCAGAGCGGAGCCAGCAAAGTTCTACCGTAGTAGAGTTGGCAGATACAAGTGAGGCAAAGAACCACCTCAAATGGGGATATGCTTCTTCTT